GGCCTTATTTTTTGCTATTTCCTTCAAAGCAGCTTGAACTTCTTCCTTCATCACCATAGGCTCTTGCTCATATGTTGTTTCATGAAATTCTTCCATGTCTGCCAATTCCTTTCTGTACAGTGACTCAGTATATTCCTTCCATCTTCTTTTGATACCTCCTGGATCGTTTAATACTCTGCCTAAGGCTGGAGAAGCTCAATATCAGCTGCGAAAACTAGGCCAGGAGCTGACTGTGGAACAGACCACCAACTACTCATATGCAAGTTCAAGCTGAAGCTGTGGAAAATTAAACCAAATCCATGGGAACCAAACTATGACTTTAATTTCATCCCACCTGAATTTCAGAACCATCTCAGGAACAGATACAGAAGAATTTAATGAAATAACATTTGAGCAAGAGCCTATGGTGATGAAGGCATTGATTATGCAAAGGCATTTGGATCATAACAAACTGTGGATGACTCTGAGAAGGATGGGAATCCCAGAACATTTAATCGTGTTAATGTGAAACCTATACTTGGACCAAGAGGCAGTCGTCAGAACAGAGCAGGGCAACACTGAATGGTTCAAAATTGGGAAGGGTGTGTGCCAGGGATGTGTCCTATCTTCATACCTTTTCAACTTGTATGCAGAGCAGATTACCCAAGAGGCTGGGTTCTATGAGGAGACGCCTGGCGTTAGGTTTGGTGGAAGATCTATCAACAATCTGCATTATGCAGATGACACAGGGACCTCTCCAAAGTACTCAAGAGCAACGGTGTCTCTTTGGAGACAAAGGTGCGCCTGATACAGACAATGGTCTTTGCAATCACTTGTTATGCATCAGAGAGTTGGACCATGACTAGGGAGGACAGAAGGAGAATTGACGCCTTTGAGCTGTGGTGCTGGAGAAGAGTTTTGAATGGACCATGGACTGCCAAGAAAACAGATTCATCCTAGAGAGTGTTAAACCGGGCTACTCCTTGGAGGAAAGGATTCTGGGGCTTCGTCTGACATACTTTGGACATGTTGCAAGGAGAGACAGGTCTTTGGAGAGGGACATC